TTTAGCAATGGCGCTATGTGAAAAGATCCAGATCAGCTGAGCAGGAATTGTATGGATCAGCTTCTGTTCCCATCTGCCCATAGAGACATGCCCCTTTGTTGCCTGCGTAAGTTAGTCCCATGCGCTGCCTGCCTGGTACCACGCAGAAGTGTTTATTCACTTCTGGGGCAGGATACAATTTTAATTATTGCAATTTTAATTATTGCAGCAGACTAATTGGCAACATCCACTAATTTGACTGCAGTTGCCTGCAGCAAGAGGATGTGTTTTTCCCCCTTTACGTATTATTGCACAATAAATGTGCCTTGTTCCTTCCCATTTCTAGCCCTTATCTACTGCACAACATCCTGCTAAGTAGCCTTCATCTGTTTCCTTCATCTCTTTACATGAGCATTGACAATTGCCTTCAGTCTGACATCCGAACCTGCAAAAATGAGTTTCCAAGTCGTCATCTTGGGAAAGTCTCAATTCATTGTAAAAGTTTTAATTTTGTTTTCAAAGCCAGAGCTGGTGAATGCTGATTTGACTGGTCAGAAACCAGGCACACCCCTGGCAAAAAATTCAATTCAGCACATTCCAGACCAAGTTTGAAAGGCTGATCTCTGTGACCTGACTTTTCTACCTTGTTGTAAATCCTTGACTGAAATGTTGCTGATGTCCAGTGATACTCACCTCCACCATGCAAGCTAATGGGTCCAGGAGATGGAGGAATAGAGCATCTCTTATTCTCTATTGACGGTTTAGGGAGCAAGGATCAACAGCAGGCAGGCTGAATTGCTCAGCATTCTTGATCAAAGATGCTAGAGTAGCTAAATCTCAGTGCTGTATTTCATCGTTAAATGCCTGATGTCTGGAAAATGAGTAGAAAAAATGCAAAAATGGTTTATTCCATGGAAAGGCAGTAGAGTTGGTAGAAACAGTAAGCTGAGGTATGCAATAGGCATGTAACGTGGAGTCTGTGCGTTTCCTTTTTTCCCTTTTTTTCATAGGCTAGCATTTTTCATTTTGAACTATATAGTATCTTAGATAGAAACATTTCAGGAATAGCTACTTACAGTACAGAATTCTGTGTTTTTCTTGCCCTTCTCGCTTGCTCTCCCTCCCAGTCAGAGATGAAATATTAGCAGAGCGGCCTAGTAAATGTGCATCCATGCACAACGCTCTGCCCTCAAGATAGAGATAAGGATCTTGCCAGGGTCCTATCCATCCTTCAGCTTTCAAGAACACACAATCCTCTTCTGAAAAGAAGGGAGGAAAGATCTTGTGAAAACCAAGAGCTGCCATGAGAATGAAAAAGGAAAAGCAGCAGGAGAAGGTAGAGAAGAAGTAACTATTGCTTTCTTCCTAATGGAACTCAGAGGTAGTTTGAATTCTTAATTGGCTGATGATCCTGCGCCAGCAGCAATACTGGCTGCAGGGTCCACATTTCAAAAACTGCCTTTGCAGCAGTCAGGGAATGTGTCAAGCAGGAAAAAATGACCTTTCCTGTCACTTCTGCCTGCATGCTCTCAGCATTTTCTCATTCGAGTGGTGATAAATGAATAGGGATGGTGGAGGATGTTGATTTAGCATGGTTTCTCACAGCGAGAGTGCCCTTTTTCCCTCCCTGTGGCCGTCCAGGGCAGCAGCACACCTGGGTGCATTGTGCGGACTTTGGTTTAGTTTTTGCTGTCTGGAGTTTGTGCAGGAATAAAACATAGATCTGAGCTGTGCATGGAGCCTGAGGTGTGACCATGTGGCAGGAAAACTGTTTTCAAGCTGAGCTTAGGCTTCTGAATGTTACTAAATCCTATTGTCTTTGTAAGCCTCTGAAATAGAGCTGTTTATCAGCCCAGAGAGCCATGAAACTTCTTCCCAGCCAGCCCACTCTGTGGGCTCCACTTGGCTGTAGAGAACAAGCAAGGGAAAGTGTAAGTCAGGGGATCCTGATATCTCTCCTCATCATTCTTTGGCTGCTTAAATAGTTTTGAGCAGTGCATCCTCCAGATGTTCCTCAGAGAGATAATGTATGAGAAAATATAAGGCTGTGAAGGTGTGTCGTCTTGTTTCGTTGCTGCTCTTGTATTTCCAGACCTAAGAGATTGTTGTAGTGAGTTCTCAAGACCAGAGAAATTATTACATGTGATAAAGGAATAGTTTTACAGTCTGTGTGTGCATTTTTGCAGCCGTGCTCCAGGACCTGCGTTCACATCTTTCCACTGCCTGACTTGTTTGCATTCTTCATGTAAAGCTTCTCCAGACAAATGATGAGAGACCATTTACTGAAAATACCCGTACTCAGGAGTCGGAGCACTGCAAAGCAAAGCTGTGTTCTTTGCCAGTGGGAGCAGATGTGAGGTGAGACATGAAGAAACAGCATTGATTGGGGATTTGTTTTGCAATCAGAGTCTTTGATATAAGAGAGCGACTTGGTTTAGGAGAAGGAAGGGTGACCGATGCATTACTTTACGGGCTTGTTATCTGCCTGCAGATAAGAGGAGCTTGTCTTGCTTTTGGGTTGCAGGAGATTGCTTTGTGAGCTTTTCCACTTGAAGTACAATATTTGGCGAGCAGAAGAGTACTAGGGGGGTGCTGTATACTGGTCCTTTTTTCGTCGTCATTGTTGTTCTGAAAAGAACCATCAGGCTTGTCAAAACTAATTAAGGAAACAAGTAGATGGCACTGGGGAGGAACTTCAAGCTAGAATGACATGTTTCAGGAGACTCCTATCATCCCCTGGTGCTCACTTAATAGGCATTATGAGTACATCTTGTGTATGCAATTGCACAATGGTAATGAGTATTTTGAATTTTGTTTGGAAATACTTAGGTTCTTCTAATTCCAGTCCCTTTTAAAAAGAACAGTGTTGTGGCAGACTGATGTTTCCTGTTACCTGGACCAGGAGTAGGTTTGTCACATTGCTGCAGGGGACGGCACAGTCTCTGGAGGGGAGAGACCCAGGAGGTGGCTGGGGAGCAGGTGAGGCAGGCTGGCATCGTGCCGTCAGGGCACAGCAAATGCCCCTGGGTAGAAGGCTGGTGTCTGGCTTCCAAAAGGAAGCCTGCAGAGTGGAGACTCCATGGTGAAGGCTGGATTTCAGTATGAAGCCTGTTGGGAAGGGCTGTGGGACAGGTCCCTAATGTGTTCCCAACCTATACCTAGAAGTGTTGAAATTACCACTGCCTTTGATAAAGTTGTGATAGATAGGTATGTTGGTAAGCACGTACCGTGTCAAAGACGAGGGTCATGATTGCTGAACAGGTGAAATTACAGCATATAGGGTTACTTAGGGGAAAAAGGCAGAAAACCTCTATGGAGTAGAAAGATGTGTGCCCTTTATTTATATATATATAGGGAAATAATGTTGCTGCACACCATAACGTTTTTCACTGACGTTTTAAGGATTGTTTTATTTGTCCTAGTCACTTTTAACTGTGTTCAGATGTTCAGAAGATTTGACCCTGATAATTACATAGTCACAGGGACTCAGGCCGGTTCTGGCATCCTTCCTGATAACAAACAGTGCTTTCTTCCTTGTGGGATCACCCTGAAACCGATGGTAGCGATTAAGGAGCAGAGTATTTCTCACTGGGAGTAGAATGATGAAAGCTCTGCCTGTGCAGCTTTGTTTTGTTGTGTTGGGTTTTTTTGGCCACAATTCACAGTGTGTTGTGAATGGACTTGCTATTGATGTGGTGCTCTAGTTAACAAGCAGTGCCAGTTTCAGTTACCTACACAGTGGGTCATAATGTAGTTGTTTTGGCATTTGCAGCACTGTGGCTGATCTTAGCTGAACTCCAGCACATACGTATGTTTGTCATTGCCTCAATTGCTATGTTTTTTGTGAGATCCACAAAAATGTATCAGAGCATATGTATTTTGTTTGTTCTTTTTTTCTTCTTCTTCTTCTCTTTTTTTTTTTTTTTTTTTTTCTCCAAATGTTTTAGCTGTTGATGCCCTAAGAATGAAAGCAGCAAAAGATTGTAATAAAAGTGTTTCAGAACATTAGGGAATTGTGAACGTTGGCTGGCTTGGAGGGAATCTATTATTTACAATCTACTGTATCAAATTCAGCTTCCACCAAATTAGAAACTGATTTTTGTCATTGTCCCTTTTTAATCTAACCCCTTGGTTAACTCAGGAGAAGCAGCTTCATAAATCACGTGGACATCTATGGATTTTTTTTTTTTCCCCTGCCAGCCTTTGCTAGGACTAAATGTTCATCTCCCAGCGATTCTTATCAGCCAGGACACTAATAATAACATTTCTGTTCTGGGCTTGACTTTCTCTATGCCAGGAGGAAAACTATCTTTGTAATGTGCCTTGCAAAACATTTTTAGGGAGTAAAATAACAATGCACAGGAAGATTTGACTTGAGGTTCTTGGGTTTCAACCAGTGAGGTTAAAGAAATTCATCGTGCCTTGTTTCATGATTATCAAGGACCATGGCATGGAATCATGGGGTGAATGACGAATACTTTCTCACTTTTTTTTAATCAGAACTTCAGCATGCATATGTGCATCATTGTTTTTTCTTTTGAAGATGGGGAAAGTGGTGTAAACAATAGCAAGATTGCCCAGCAAACCAGGAGCAGGTCAGGAAACTCAGTCTCTCATGTCACTATTCAGCCAAATAAAACCCCTTTTTAATTTGCTGTCTATAAGCATGAGGCTGCTGTGCCCTCTTCTTTCCTTCAGCATTAAAACAGAGCTCTGGTTTTAATGGATTTTGGAGCCAGCTTGCTTTGCCACGACAGGGCTTATCATTGTAGTCTTGGTCTTGAAGACAAGGGATAGGCAGATTCACTCGCCAGCAGCTGGGAAGGCGTCTATCTTAAAGGTTAGTATATGGCCCCTGGGAGCGGCCTTTTGTAGAAACACAAAAGAGACAAGTTGGTAGGAGGTAGGGACCTACGTACCAGGTGTCACAAGGTAGACTTGAACTGGTTTTGCTTTCCCTCACCCTCTGTCTAACTGCAGCCTTTTATCTGACCAGCTGCCATCTTTCTCTCTCTCCCCAGGTCAGTGACGGGCTTGGATAAAGAACCTGACCTTGTGCACATGGAAGCCCGGACAGCTGATGGACGTGAGTGCCTGCAGCTAACACTGAAAAAGTGGGCTTTGAGTCAAAAGTGGAGTGGGAATGGAAATTCACTTTACTCATTTTGTCTCCCTGTTTACATTTTAATTGATGGGAAAGATCTGGATCATGGGGTTTGATGTGAGGCATACTCTTATCCTTAGCCCCTGGGGGGAAATTCAGAGGCTGCAAGGCTTGTGTCTGTGGAGAGGCTGGGCAGAAGCACCATCTGTTGGGGTAAGGAGCCATCTATTCTGTTCCCTATTTAGCTGTTTCAGTATCGTGTATTTTACATGAATCATAAAGAGCTGGGCTACCAGCCCTGTGCAGTACAGCCTCTGTGCATTTCCAGAGGTGTTTGGAACAGCTAGGTTGTACCTGGGAATTTGAGAAATTGCCTACAGTCAGATTCTCCTCTGGCCAGGTTGTCCTTATGCCCCAGGTACCCTTTCTCTCATATTGAAAGGATTTTTCAATTTTGCTTAGAAATAGGTGCTCCATACCAAAACATTGCAGGCTTTGAAAAGGTGCTTGGATCTGAAGCAAGGAAAAAAAAATAATTCTTAACCCCTCACTGAAATGAAACTAGCCATATTTGCAGTACAATGGATTCCTATGTAATTAACCGTCAGTGAAGAAGAGAGTATTAGAAATAAGATGACTTTTTCCATTGCTCTCTCCAAAGTGTTGTAGGTCTTTCTCACAGGAGCTACGGCATGGTTGTGCGTCTGCTCCTGGGGTGAAGCCAGCTTTACTCTAGCTCAGTGCTACACAGCAATGGGACATGTGTCCCTTTTACACTACAGGGACAGTGTAGAAAGCAGCACAGAACTGAGGTTGTAGGGGATTTCTGGGAGGAAAAAGGCCTAATTTTTGTTTGTTGCAAACTTTTTTCTGTTCTTGTCAAGTGCTGCGTAGGCCAGATGCTGTGTGAACAAGCTCCTGTCTATCAGGGTGGCTTCTCTGAGGCTGTGGATCTTCTAAAATCACTCATTGGCCTCCCACTGCTATTTAGTGATGGCAGCTGAATAAATAACCAGGCAATAAAAGCTCGGGGGTGACAGCTGTTTGTTGAATATGTGGAAAAAGCAAAACAGGCCGGCAGGTGGGTGGGCAAGCTAGGGAGGCTTCTTCAGTGCCTTTGCTGCTGTGCGTGCTGTTGCAGGGATGCTGGGAGAAGTGGCCAAAAGCAAGTTAAAAAAAAAAAGCAAGTAAGCAAACAAGCTGCTGATGGAGTTTGTTTTCAAACTAAGTTTAAACTTGCTCACCCAGCTATTTGAATATTGGATGTGTCAAGGATGTAAATGCTTCATTTGAAAGATGTCTCCCCAGTTCACAGACAACTCTGTTCCTTCAGGTCTTGTTTCCTCGGTGGTTTGCTGTTTGTTCTTGTTTTAGTGTATAAACTCAGCATTTTGAAATTGGCAGTTGATGGTATTGAGGGTTTCACTGAAAGTCAGGCTTAAACCAGTAGTGTCAGCAGAACAGGCCTATGCAAGCCATCGTCCCAGCAGACAGCAGGCACAGGCAGGACCCAGCGGGCTGTGCTGGCCCTGCTGGCATGTCCTGCTGGCGCACAGCACCAGAATGACTCCTCTCCCAGCCAAGCATAACACAAAACCCCCGTGTTGCTCCATTTACAGTTTTTAAGGCTTAAAACTATATTAGTTTGTATTACAAAACATCGTCTGCCTCAAAGCTATAGCCTCACCTGGTGTGAAATGGTACAGCTCTGTGTACTTAGGAACGGAAGGCTGAACTTTTCCCCTAGTTGGCTTTGTGACCAAAATGGGCCTTCATGCTCTCAGTGAATGGCTGAGGCATGCACACCTGCTGGAAAATGGGTCCCTGCAGTTATTTCCTCTTGATGAGAAGTTTTTTGATGAAAGTTTTCCTCAGTAGCGGGCAGAAGGAAGGGGAGGCTTTTATAATGCCTCTTAGGTCAGTCTGGTGGCTCAGTCACTTCTCTGGTGCATTAACAGACATAGATTTGAATATTCCCATTGCTCTGTTCAATTCTTCAATATCCTTGGGCATTTTAAAAGTACATGATTCTTCTAGAGGGAGCATTTGTCTTTCTTCCTCTTCTGTTTTCCTCCATGCTTTTTATTAAAAAAAAAATAAAAAAATTAAAAGTGTTATGGGAGAAGTGGTATTTAGGATTAGACTCCTGACCTTGATGATTTTTTTGCCCTTTCAAGAGTAATAAGACTCAAGAACGTATCTAATACCAATTCAGACACTAGAGCCTAAAATATGTTCTGTGGCTGGGAACAGGTGGTGGAGCATACTAGAGTCTCATTCATCCATAAATGAATCAGGGCGATCAATAAGCTATTGATGCTGTGAGGTGGAAGTCCTGTTCACTGCTTTGTCTGTCCTCCAAGATGTCTTGCCCCATGGTTTTCATCTGTCTGGTCCTTATGAATGGTGGGATCTCTGAAAAAAATCTGTCCCAGTGCCTAGTCTCCTTAAATATCGGCAAGATGCTGTGAATTCCAGTGCCTAGCTGATCTCAAGCTGTTCCTGTCTTTTGTAGCAGATGAAGTTTTTCACATTTTTTCGACATCTTGGCAGAGCTATTGTAGCAGAATAATAATCTAGGCTTGCATTTTTAAATTATAAAAATGTGTAGGAGCCTTGGGCACTGTACTTTCTGCCTGGGTGTAACAGGCAGCAACAAGGACAAGGTTGGATGCAAGGGAACTATTACAAATACACTGACACGAGCACCCACTAGCACTCTTGGGTAAAATATATTAAACTTTCTGATGTTCAGTAAGATAATCTCTTCCCTCACAGATATGATGCAATAAACAGTATTTTAATTAAAGGGAAAAGGAGGGGGCAGATATCCTAACCAGAAAGATAAAGCAGGGTAACTAATTCCTGGGGAAATAATTTACAGTCCTGTCTATGTTTCTAGAGCCTCTAGTCCTTTGGAAGAGTGATTGTCGAGGCCAGCTAGTTTTTCCTCCCTCCTATGATAACCTTCATTGGCAGTTCATGATTTTAAATCTTGCTTGGCACCAGGACTTGACTTAAACTGAGCCAGTCTACCAATGTAACTTGTTTCCATCAGCTGCCTTTCTCCCTGTTAGCCATGCTGGCCAGTTGTCCCTGCTTTTAGCTGCCTTGTTAATGCTGCCAGGAAGGAGCAGGCCTTGCTGTCCTGTGTCTCTGTACATCACGAGAACCTGCACATAGGTCTGCCCTTTGCAGCCTTCGGCACAGGGACAGGTTTGACTGTTTTCAGTGTCTCCCTCCAGGGACCCACATTTTTGGGGGTTACCCTCCACAGAGAGCCCCTTGTGCTACTGCTTCCCACCAAAGCTGTCATGGCTGGTGGACAAAGGAAGGACTTAGTAGCTTGACTTATTTCACCAGTTTATCACTGCAAATTTCAAGAAATTGTTTCAATTTTATTACTTCTAAAAAGGGTAAAAATACACCTCAAATTCTCAAGATGGGATACTATGTTAATTAGCAATGCGGAGGTGTTTTGAGCTCTTCAACTGGTAAACAGCTGCACATCTGAGAAAGCCATTCCCTAATCCTAAGTGAGTTAAGTTGGTGGGAAGGGTTTGTGCGGAGGTATGGATGCTGGGATTTAAGCTGCAGCAGACCTTCCAGGCTTCTTCATGTCCATATTGCCTTATTCACAGATGGGATGAGAAAGTAGCTGTGTGTTGGGTTATAAACATGAGAAGTTTTTGAGGCTGTCTAGAAAATAGGGAGCTCTTTTCAACTCATTTTGCAGTGGAACATAATTTTAAAAAAAACCCCAACCCTCTAATTCTGGTGTTGCATGGGATGATATATAAATTGGAAATAATCCCTAGGTAGAAGCCAACCTCCCTTAAGGCATGCATCTCCCAGTGAAAGGTAAGCAAGGCTTTAAGGGCATAGCTTGGGCATGTTCTACCTGCCTCTCTGGGCGACTGTCTTTTTTCCTTGTGGCTGTGCAAAACAGGACTGAAAAATTAACTCCCTCCTGAGAAGAGGGAGATAACACCTTGGAAGTTAGGATGCCCCCTTCTCTCTTAATTGGCATTTTTGTTAAGGGGCTCTGTACTTTCTATATAGGGGAAGATTTGCTCTGCGAATGGGACCATAGCTCAAGAAGGGATCATACCCTTCAGGAAGCCTGAGCAGGGACTTGGGGTAGTTTCTTGCTTCCAGTTACACACAAATGTGAACTGGGTACTGTCATATTTTTTACATGATTTTTTTTTTAAAACATATTTTAAAGGGAATTATTTTTCATTTTCTGTGGGGTAGCAGGAAGATAAGCAAGACTCGAACTTATTTTGGTCCAAAGGCAGACAGGTTTGAAGATAATTTTTTTGTCTGTGGTATTTTTCATAGGCCTTGTGTTGTAAAATGTATGAAAATAAATAAACAAGAGACTAAATGGAAAATGGGTAGTGAGCTACCCTCCTTCTCCACCACCATCTTCCTGTGAATATTAATCAGGTGCCATTCTTTGAGTATATTAGATTGCTGGTGTAACACACTCAAAATGACACATTTGCCGATAGGCAGGAAGCTAGTTGTCATGTCAACACTTGTGATTTATTTGCATTTATTTGTGACAGGTTTTTATTCCTCTTCCCATTCTGTCACTCAGCAGCAGCAAATTATCCCCTTTTTGGAGGGATAAGAATATCCAGGCGACTGTGTGGGAGAACATACCGGAGGGAATGAGCTTCTAAAAATACAGCTCCTGACCTCTCCTCCTTGTTCTGCCTAATTTTAGTGCTACCTCAAAGAACAAGTCAAGGCTGCTGAGCTCTTTGGGTAACATGGCAATATATAAGACCCTCTTGTTTTCTGAGGATTTGTTTTTATCCACCACTAAGGTGTCTTAGATTCCATGTTGAGGAGGTAAATAGCAGCTCTGGACCAAGTATGTATGTGTCAGCTGATGAAGAACCTTAATTTATCCCAGCTGAGAGTCCAGCCTCTCTACTGCTGCTGGTATTTTATGCT